AGTGTGTGGGCTAAATTTGGAGAATCCGTGCTTCTCGCATGGACAACTGTATGTGGCCGGCTCACGCGTCGAAAAACCTTCCGATTTATTCGTGTACACACCAGAGGGAAAAACAAAAAATATCGTGTATCCACAAACACTCCAATAAATAAATAGAATTGAAACGACACTTTGAAATGTTTTCCCGATGAAAATGAATAATAATAATAAGTTTCAATAAAAATAATAAAATGTAAATTGAATTTTATCATAACAAGTTTGCTTGAATTTCCTTTCTTCTGAGATTGCAGCAATGCGCGACGGGTAAGTTAGTTCTAAATAAATAAGAAGAGAATGGCCTAAAACATAAGACAAAGAAGATAAAAAATAAATAACACGATGAAATTTGTATAAAATATGTTAATTCAGAAAACTAACATAATCAAAATAACTTTTATAAAAATTGTGCTATTTATTCTAACATTGTCTAAATCAAAATTTCTTCAGATTATTTTATTTTATAAAATACATTATTTTATTATTAATGTGAATATTTGAAAACAATTTTACATTTAAAGGTACTGTACTTATTAATATTTTATTGTAGATTCATTATTGTGTACTGTAATGGTTATTGACGTCCGTATGCTGATTGATTATTGATACATTTTTTCACTAAGAAAATGTCATTGTGTATACACTCGAATTCTTGCTTTATATACATAATAATATATATATAAAGCAAAATTAAGGTACTAAATGAACTGATGAGGCTCACTATATCAAATGAACTTGACACTGCTTAATTAAGTTGTTAAGTTAGTTTCATCTTTTCAGAAAAAGTTTGTATATAAAATATTTTAAATAAATTGAAAATTATTTTGATAAAATAGAAACATTATTAGAAATGCATCTTTCTAGAATTTATATTTTATTTGAAATTAAATTTTATATAAATTGTACTTTTTTTGATAATAAATAAATAATACATTATATAAATTAATTTTTTATTTATTTAGCTATTACTTCAGATCAAAATGTAGAAGTTGGAAGATCATTTTTTGTAAATTGCAAATTAAATAGCCATAACATAACATTACCAAGAAAAGGATTATTTTATGCAAATTCGTCCATGCTTGTTTTGAAATTTAACAGAAATTATCTAACAGAAAATGTTAACATATTAGATCCATACACAATACAATTCAGAAAAGAAAATGCTTCCTTTGAAGACATCGGCAAATATTATTGCTTTTTGAATTATGATGAAAAGAAGACGCTTGTATGTGCTACTCAAGTTACTGTTGGATGTAAGTATTGAAAGTTAAAATTATTTTATAATATAAATATAAAATTTATATTAATTCTTAGTTCTTCTGCAAGTTTCTCATTATGGATTAAAACATATTTCAAAAACTTTCATACTGATTTTATTTGTACTGTAGATTTTTATACAAAACAAGTAAAATGGTGAAGCCATTCTTGGGACAAAACTATGTCTCGGAGAGCGCAAGCAATGCATGCACAAATATCGCACTCATGCCTGTTTGTAGAAACAGTCTCAGCATGTTGTATTTTAATTTTGACCCAGTTCTCAGTTCCCTGACTACCTACAAGTTTGGTTTATTTTGTGCGCATGATTTGTGCACCAAATACTCTGTGCCAAATTGCAATTGTTGACATGTACTCCTTCATGCCTCTAAAGTGTGCAGCTGTTGACAGCAATGCGATTTTAGAGATGAGACATAGTCTCGTCAATAATTAGATTATTTTTAATAATGAAGTGAATCTGAAGTAATATCTATAAAGTGAAGAAACATGAACTCATTATTTATTGTTATATTTAATTGATATAATCTTAACATAATGAAATAATAATTTTAATATTCTTATTTACAGTGGAAAATATTTTACATATTGATGACTCTACAGTGAGAAACTCATGATACAAAATTTTCAATAATTCTGGGAATGTGAAAAAGACAACAAAACAAATTGAGTTTGAACAATTAAAACATTCAATAGTTTAAAATGTTGGCTTTAATAAGTTTTTAGTATTAAAGTAGGTGTGTTTTTTTTGGATTTACGGGATAAAACTTGACATACACACCAGAAAGTGATTCTATGACATATGAGGTTTTCACTCTAGGTCAATGATATGTAGATGTCATGCTGAATGATTACTATTTTCTAATACTGATATATATTTGATTCTAAGGTGCATTATTAGTTTGAAATTTAAGTGCACGAAATATATATTGTTTTAAATTTCCAATTATTGAAAAGAAATGGTGATAAGAAGGATCCCTAATAGATTTTCATATTTATCAATCTTCACTCCCCACTTTCTTTGTTGTTTCTATTACTGTGTGGTTATTTTGATAGATATTTATAATAGATGAGAAGAGTTGCTTTGTTATATTTAAGAGACTAAAACTGCATTTAGTTGTTTTTATATGACTGTCAAATGCTTTCTTAAAATTGTGAAAGCTGTAGTATTTAATTTATATTTTTTTTATCAAAATTTTCAATACATCAATAGATCAATACATAATTATTTTTTCAAAAAACCATTTTGTTCTTTGCATTCAGATTTTTTAAATATATCATTGTAAATTAGCTGATAAAAGATGAAATCCTTGAGAATAATTTATAACTTATATTAAGGAGGCTTTTGGCTCTAGTTTTTGCAGTTAGTTTTATCTATCTATTCATGTAATGGCATAACAATGCTTTGCTCCAGCTACTTGGTGATCTTTCATCCTTAAAATAATGTTAAATAACTTAACAAATATGCATTTATTAGAAGATTATTAAAGTTCTACATAGAGCATATTTCATTTTTGTCTGGAGATTCATCTGGTTTATTCTCTTAAATTGGTATTCACTATTGATTCTATTACAGTTTCAGTGCAATAATTGTTGCTTTGCCAAAGATTTTGAAATAGAGATATCATGTGCTTCCTTTTATTACATCAAGATTTACTTGATTCTTGAGTTTATCCATATTCCTTAGAATTTTATAAATGTTTGATCTCTTTGCATGTTATCTATTTTAATTTTTGCTATAAAATTATTTTAACTTTGTTTACTACTTTACCAGCATGTTCTCTGGTACTGCTCATTTAGAGCAGTAATGCAGAGATCATGCTGGAGTATGCTTTATGTGTATAATTTATTTCAATTTCTATTATTTGCATAATAATTAATTTTTGTATCTTTTTAAGCCTTTATTAATATTTTGACATCCTCATCTCATTTTCTTATTGCTGTTTTATCAACTATTTTTCTATTCAAGTTTTTCCATTGTTACTCTTTTTAATATGGTTTTTAGATTTAGTCTGTATTAACAACCTTTTTTTCCCCATTTAATTTGATATATAATAAGTAAATATTTGTTGATACAGATTTGATTTGTTCATAATATAGATGTAATGTATACAAACAAAAACCAATTTTTTCAGACTTTATTTATAATTGCACCATTTGAAAAATGTATTCTCTATTCTGATTGGGTAATTGTTTATTTTCATTTTATTTAGTGTTTTTGCTGTTTGGCAAAGATATATGGATATGTGCAAAATTTTAGTTTTTGTTTGGTTGATATGCCATTTTGATAAATAATCAAATTTGAATATGATAAAAAAAAGTGCATTAATCCACAATAATTGTTTATATTTATTTACTTATTTGTATTTACATTAAAAAAAACAAAACATTAAGTTATTTAATAATGATAGTAATAACTTCAGTGAAAAAAATGGCAGGAAAACCTTTTTACTCTGAAGAAATTAATGAAAGTTAACAAAACTGTGACATCAATTTCAAATTTTGATCTTAAAATTTTTTGAATACATAGAGCTAGAAGTATACTACTTAGAAAAGAATGATTACCATAGGAAATGCAAGCATACACATTTAAATTAAAAGGTTACAAAAAATTATGGGTATATTTCTGGGTCAAAGGCCATTCCCATATCTTAACCAGAAAGTGTTTGGTTAAAGGTTGAGGGGGTGGGGAAGTAGAGAGAGGATGTATCATATTTCGAGTACGGTCAGATTTTATGAAGATATTATTCATTATTAGCGCTTACAATGTTTTATAAAACATCTCTACCCTCAAAATTAAGTATTTTTTGCCATTTTATAATAATTAAAAAAATATAAAAATTATTTGGAATAAAATCTCATAACTAACACACACAAGTTTACTTATTATTATTAATAATATAAAAGTTATTCATTAAATAAAACATCAAAACAGCTAGGAAAGTTACACAATGCATTGCTAGGTTTTTTTTCTATTGTTTTTGAGTTGTGTACAAAATGTAATCCAGAAAAAACTTTTCATTTATTTGTAAATCAATCAGTATTGATATCTTCATGGGAATTCCAAATGTAAAATAGTGTTTGAATTGATAAATTGTATATTTAGAATTTGGTCTTATTAAATTATATTTGAAAATAAACTAAACTAGTTTGCATTAAGAAAATAATAAATTTAATTAATATTATTTACTTTAGATAAACCTCTTCCTGTTGCAAATTTTTCCTGTATTTCTTGGCATTATCAAAATTTAACTTGTTCTTGGATTCCTCAACAGAATCCTATAATAACAAAATATATTCTTGAAGATTTTATCATTCGTTATAATACAAGGTAAGTTGTGCTGTGTAATTTAATGAAGTATTTCTTGCAGTTAAATTAATTTTTCTGAATTACTATTTTATACTTTGTATAACTAACAATTAATATTATGTTGTTATATCATAGATTATGTATTAAAATTCAATTAATAGTTTAACTTTTGTTTTTGCATTAAAATTGAAAAATTCTTTTTTTTAAGAGAGCCTGAAATAGGTGGAGTACCTCGTCCTTGTCCAGAAAAAATTTCTGAAACAAGTTGTCAATGGCAGCTGAATAGTGATCCACCTTATAGAAAAGCTTCACAGAATATAACTTTTAAGCTAACAGGAATTAATAGTCTGGGAAATTACAGTCAAATATTTACAATTAATCATTATGCAAGAGGTAAATTAAATATTACAAATGTTTTTTTTTTTCATATTACTTTTATATCTTATTTATATAATTTCTGTTGTAATTAAATTAATTTTCTATTCTGAAAATAACATCTAGAATATTAAATGATTAATCCAACTAAGCTATAATTTTGGAAATTTTTATACTTTTTATTTTCAAAGAAAACATTTGGAAATTGTAAATTATTACAATAGAAGTTCATTGTAGAAAGTAAAATTTTTTAATGTTTAAGCATTAAAAATATTTCAGATAAATATGTAATCTTAACTTATAAAAATGTGAAATCATTTTAAACATTTCACATTTTGATAAGTATCAGGTTAAAGTTGCTCTTATAGACCTGCTATAAACTAGTTTAAAAATGATTTGAATTCTGATACTAATTAATGAATTGTAGAATAAACAATTCATAAAAAGTAAAAAGAAGAATTTGAAACAGGGAAATAAAAATATTTGATAAAATTATTGTGATGAAAAAGTTTAGCAGCAGAAAATAGACAATAAAGTTCTAGTTTTGTTGCAAGAATCATCATTAAGTCATAACAGATTTTTATAGTCCACTTAATAATAAAAGAAAGAGGTGTTAAATTAATCTTGAAAAATTCAACAAAAGTTCTCTGCAGAAAAATTTTTTTAGATTCATATTCCTATAATAACCTACTTGTTTTTAAGGCATTATTTCTTATTAGCACATTATTAATCATATTTTTATTTTCTTGAATTCTTGAAGATAAACAAAAACTTGTAAATTTTTACAAGTTTTAATATTTTTATTTTTTACTAAATATATTTAAACAAAAAATGCATATATATATTTTTTATTCAGTCTTACCCAGTGCACCTCATAGTCTTGATGTACAAGCTATAACTGAAACTAGTATCAGTGTTGTTTGGCTTCCTCCATCAGAAATGTCAATCGAAGGAGATTTTGAACCAGGGTTGACTTATCAACTACAGTACAAGAGTGAATATGATGATATATGGGATGTAAGTGTTTTTAAATGGAATACGTAATTAAGGTTAAATTTTATATTTAATGTTTATTTATTTACAGTTTATAATTGTAAATAAAACAAAAGAAGCCCATATAATAGATCTGAATCCATATACAGTTTACACCTTAAGACTACGTTGCCGTTCAACGGTTGCTTACACTGATGATATGTGGAGTAACTTTACGACACGTGTTATTCAAACGAAAGCAGATGGTATGTATATTATAGTTATATTCATTTTTGACTGTATTTGTTAAAATATTTTGCTAGATTGTAGATCAGGGATGCAAGTGCTATGTCAACTATGCTGTATTGCACCAAAATTCATTTCCTGCTGGCCTGTTGAGAGTTTGTATGGTACCAGTAGTGGACTAGGCTCTCTTTTGCCTCTGCAGGCTTCTTTAACCTTGTTTTTGAACATTTGAAATATTTAGAATGTTTCTTTATTAACAAAAGGCAATCTTAAAGATGTTATTTTCTGTTAGCAAAAATAACATTAATTTTATAGCGGTAGGAATCACAATAGGCTCTTAACTTGGGAAAATTATTCATCTTCTCCCTTTCAACAGCCCTGTTTCTTGTGCCATTATTGTCAGTTTCCTATTCTTTCCTTTTTCCTTGGATTTCTGATATGTAGCCAATGTGTTTTTCATCCTTCCAAATCATTAGTGTAGGAATAAGGTCTACTATTAGTCCTTTGATCAAAACTCAACCCAGTCATTGATCTTGATTTATTTGTCAATAAAGTTCACTCAACTGAATAATGATAGAATATTGAATTTGAAAATTTTTTTTATGAACAAATATTAGAAATTTATTCATAAAAATAAGATTATGGAATTGAAGGACTACTATTTAAAATATGTTATTAAAAATTAGCCAAGCAGCCTTCTGACCAAGAAACTAAATAAGTGAATAAACTGCTGCAAAGTTTAGTGTTTATTAAAAACAGTCCACAAACAAAAATTATAAATATTATAAATATATTTTGTTTGATGTTCAGTAATGTTATCAAGACTTATGGCAAGCCTAATTATATTATATTATAAACTACGACTTAAATTAAATCAGGGAATTTCCCAGGAATTGTGGATAGTTCATTTAACTGCAATAATAGCAGTATGTATTTCTAAATCAAGTTTGCAATATTAAAAGTTTAAGTAATTAAAATTACCTTCTCAATATTGGAAAGAATCATAAACACACTTTAAAAAACCTGTAAAGTCCAGTAACCAAGGTCAAAAACATTTGTCAAAAATTTTTTACATTAAAAAAATATTTAATTACTGGACTTTAAAAAAATCTTTAAAGTGTGTTTGTTTAAGCAATTTTTAAATTATATAGTACAATTCATTAGCTTAGAAACAATTAATCCCAAAGCCTGGATCCTAGCCTTCAAAATTCAGATACTCTGGTTTAGACCTAGAGAGGTTGTAGCCCCAGCTGTGAATCAGTTGATTTTGTTACGACAGAGGTATATATGTAGTTCTCACAGTAAAGTGGCTTTTTTCTTTATCCTTGGAGATTAAACCAATTCATATGTTTTTTCATGGAAATAAAATGGTAAACTGAGTGATGCAATTAAAACTGTCTTGTCATGTTGAGGCAAAAATTTGATATAATGAGTTATCATCATTTAAATTTTTAATTTCATATATTATTCTAATTTTAAAAAATTAAATTATTAGTAATGTCCAATCATCAGGCATTATTGGACTCAACTATTTCATAAAATCTACCATTTTGTATATTGACCATCTAAGTTTTTTAAACATGATTTTATTATTTTTCTAAGTTTAATTTCAGCCAAAATATTAAACCTGACTAAACATTGATGAAGATTAGTTTTTAATTAGAAAAAGCAATTACAGTAGAGCATCGTTTATCTGAATCAATTGGGGACTGGGGTTGTTCAGATAACTTATCTTTCGGATGACCGATTATGTACGAAAAAATACATTAACCTATCCCATGTTGAAATTTTTCTCCGTTGCGTGTCGCTTCGCGTTGAATTTTCGTCTGTGTTAAGCCTGACGAAGACTATTGTATCATTAAAAATTATTTTTTTATTTTGTACAAATAAAATAAATATATTGAAAAATATAAAAACAAAAAAAATTTATACTTTAGAAGTTATCTAGTATCAAAAACGTTCGATTCAGCATGACACACAGTCCTCAGAAAAACACCACACAAAAGTGACAGTGCTGCCAGCTAAAACACATACACAAACATAAAAAATATTGGAGTAGCCCAAGATATAGCCAAAGATTGCAGCACCACACTACTAGCAAAAATTTAAATTTGACGACTGGAATTCTTTCGGATAACCGACATTTTGGATAAATGATGCTCTGCTGTATTTATTGTGACAATGTCACAATGCTAAGCTGCAGTTCTTAACCTGTCCTACGTTGTTACTGAAAATATTCATGTTGACTTCATTGACCTGCGTGGGTGATTCCGAATATTTTCGTGTTTACATTGAAACGTTTTTGATACTAGATGTCGCTATGCATCACAATTTTTATATTAAAACAAACTTTTAAAAGATAATTTTTTTTGTTTCTATATTATTCAATATATTTATTTTGTTTGTGAAACATAAAAAAAATAATTTTTTACAATACAGTAAACATGACTATTATTTCAAAAAAAAAATTTTAGGCTTAACATCGACGAAAATTCAACATGGCATCACAGGCAACAAATAAAAATTTCAACATTGAATAGGTTAATCATATTTTTAATTTCTGTAATTTTAAATAAATGCTCTCCATCTTAAATTATTAGTGTTTTGCCCCTGTTCATAATACTTTTTTTTGTTAGATGACAGCAACAGTCATGCTATCTTACTTCTTTCAGCGGAAAATTTTTGAATTGAAATAACATGACTTCCAGTTTGCATTGGAAGTTCATATACAGTTAATTGGGGCCTTCTCCTGTAAGCTTTCAACATCTGGTCATTTTTTTCATCTATTTAACTTTGTCTTTTCTTAATCTCAAGAACAAACAGATGGATGACAGTGGGAATTTATAGGTCTACAATTTTTTCAAATTGCAGCCCAATAATAACAATTACAACTATCTGGTTGTAAGGGAGAAATGTCGACTTAATTATCAATAAAGATTTTTTTTTAACTTAACAGCAATTACAGTTTAGCTTAATAGGTAATCACCATTGATATAAATCACATCTCACCACCTTTGTCACAAATTTTCACTCCTATAAGTGTAGAATGTATATATAAACATCACTAATGCATTGATAATAAACTAAATGATCGCCATAATTAATTGGGCCGTTGTTTGCTACTATTAATAATTAGATACCAAATAATTTGGTATTAGAGGTATCATTAGGCACCATCTCTTATTGAAATTTAAAATTATTTAATAAATATTAAATTATTATAATTACTGAATAGTCTGGAAGAAAAGAATCAGTCCAGAGTGGGATTTTAACCTGCAACTCCCATTTACTGTGTGGTGCTTTGCCAGTTATCTCACTTAGACCTCAGCAATTCTTTGCTTTCAGATAAATTTTATTCTAAAATTACTTAATAAATATTAATTATTATAATTATTAATTTCTTTGAAGATAGAATGACTAGGGATTTTTTTTAAGAAAGTTTCGAGCATCATGCTCATATGGATATTGCCATTGAACTGTATATTGATAATATGGTTCTGCAGGGCACCAAATAGATTGTATTCATTTGGCATCAAGTCTGAGCTGTAAGGGCCAGCTTCTTTGTTCTGTTGTCATGGCAATAATGAAGTTTTTTGATCTTAGTGTTCAAATAATCTGGTTGTTTACAGTAGCATTCTTTCTTGAATGATGTCAGTTGGAAGCAACTCCATCATGATGATGCCAAACACAGATAATCACCTTCTTCTGCACTATTAGCCCTTTGTTAAAGTATTCATGATTAAACAAAGGTCAACCTGCTGCAAATATCAAACAATATGAGCCTTCATTGCATTATGGCCATTTTCGAAGTGCTAGAGCAACAGCATGTAAATATGTTCTTTCAAAAGTTTTATAGTGCTATTTATAGTTTTATAGTGGATATTGCTGATGTGTCAATTTCTGATGAAATGTGTTATGAAATGTCTTTGGATTATATATTCACATTGAACATTGAACATTCTAGAACATTTTTCTGGTCATTTCTAGAAAAAAATCAGTGTCTAAATTTTCCTTTAAAGCAGGTAGTATATGTGTATATATATACATATATGTAAAAATAAATATACAATATATTCTCTCAACAAGTAATTTATTTGTTTTTTAAAAACATGTCTGTAGCACTTGCACCTTTTGGTAGATTCATATTTTATATCTTGATATATTTGTGTTTCCATACCTTACTGATCATTTTAAAATTAGATTTAATGAGGATTATGTAGAGTGAATACAAAATTTATTGTATTATATTGCATGTCATTTTTTATATAACTCTTATTAGTTTAGTTAACATATTGATAGTATTGAACAGTGTTTCTCAAACTATGGGTCATGTTAAAATTTTAATGGGTTGTGAAATGATACCACATTTCACAAAAATACTTGTTCCTAGTTCTTAGATAACAGATGCATCTATATTGTAATACTGATATATTAAGTACTGAAAATTTTTAAACAACTTTTTTCTAATAATTATTATTGTCATTTAGTAGTAAAATAAAGATTATAGAATGTGTGTACATAAAATTGATTTCTCATTTCTATTTTGAACAACATCAAAATAGATATTATATGTAAAGTAGTCATAAAGCCATTTAAATTGCAATGGTTTTTGAAAATATTTATTTGATTATTCAAACTTTTAGGTTTATTGTCATACATAACAATAAATTATGAAAAATAAATAATGGATGAATTTTGGCACAAATGGATAAATAAATAATTTCTAAAGATTTTGTTTTGTGTATATACAAAATTAAATTGACAAAATCATCTTACAATCAGAAAATGAGCCCTTTTTAAAATTGTACTTAAATATTTTTTAAAGTTTCTTTTTATAAAGTGTTTTATTTACAAAGTAAAAAGTCTGAAAAAAATTAAATAGACTCCTGAGTAATTTTGAAGCAATTATTATATTTAATAGTTATTAAATTTCAATAATAATAACTGAAATTGAAAGTTATTTGTTACAAATCGAAATTGGCTTGAACCTCTCTTAATAGAAATGTACTCAATGTTACATTTCACACACACAAGTTATTATCTATAATGCATAATTTTAATTTTGTTATAAAGTTTTTAGAAAACCTGATAAACTGAAGCCACTATATATCATAAATGTTTGGGTTGTGGAACCATACAAATATATTGGGTTGCATGAGCAAAAAGTTTGAGAAATGTTGGTCTTGAACAGAATAGAATATTGTCATTGTGTTTTATTTATTTATTTTACTTGAAATGTGTTTTTACAATTAAATATTAATAACTCATATGTTATAGTTCCTTACGTTGCACCTAAAATTGTTCAAGGACTTTTTGAAGTAAGAAATTTCCAACGCGGAAGAAATATTATCATTCATTGGAAAGTAAGATGATAATTTTTTTAACATATACTCTTTGTAATAAGATATAAATATAAGGATTTTTATTCCTTTTAATATTAGTAATTTCTAAAAGAAAACTTTTATGAGAGAATAAATAAAACCCAAACAAAATAAATTAATGATTTTTTCATGTCATATAAAAAGTCATTTTTATTAAAATATAACTTTAAAATCTTTCAAAATTTTAAACATTATGTACTATGCACTAAGACCATGATGATTTTCTTACCTTTTCTGAATGTCATTCTTTTATTTTGCTTGAATTCTATTTTTGAAGAAATACTTTTCTGGTCATCTTCAGAATGATGTAAATGAAGACAATAGTTCTTTTTATCTCCCATTAAATTTTTATAGAATCAAAAGTTGCTTTATTTTTTTTTTATAATGTAAGCATACAATATAATACAGATTAAACTGATGTCTATTTTTTTAAAATGTATGTATATTATGAAAAACAAAACATCCAATTTAGTTATTTATGCATATAAATTACCATTAGTAAGTAAGAAATGGAGATGCTGCTATCATTTTTAATGAAAAAATAGCTTAATTTTTAATAATTCAGAAGATGTAAAAAGTATTTAATTAGTCATAAAATCAAGATGAAAATACTGTATTAATTTGAAAATATTAGATAAAATTGGAAATATCCATGTTGAATTTGTGGTTTATATCTACTGACTAGTTTCCTATTCCCTTTCTTATTAATTAGTTCTCAAATACTGTTATATTCCAGTTATTTTAAGGGTTATCACCAGGGCTTCGGAGTCAGAGTCGTCAAGTTTTGGTGTTTTAGCCGGAGTTGGAGTCGGAATCGGAGTCGTCAAAAATCTGCCGACTCCTTTTTACTTACCAACTTGTTATGTATATAAAATGGAAAAGTATTGGAATCGTGTCAAATTTGACCCTCCAATTTTTTTTTGCAAATCTACACGTTTGGAGACCTCCTGAACCCCTCAAAAAAGTCAGTAAAAGGGAGAAATTCGCACGCGTGTGTGTTGGCATCTAATTTGTTTAACGTCTTTATTATCTGTTCTGAGATATTAAACAATATCTCAGAATGGGTAAAGTTTAAGAAACGAAATGTGGCACTGTAGCTCGTGTATAAAGGGGTATTAATACTATTAAATTTTGGCTCTTAATTAAAGGTCGACAGGGTGAAGACCTAAAAGTAGTCATGTGTCATATCTCTTAATGAATATTTTACTCATTATTAGCATTCAAAATTAGAAAAAAATAAAATAAAACTTGTCTCTACCCTCAAAGTAAGCTTTTTAGCCATTTTATAATAGTACAGTAAAACCCATTAAGAAGTTCTTGCCTAAGATGTTAGAATGTATATGGGGGCACGATTTAGTTCAACCACTTTAATGCTTAATAACTAACTCCTGTGTTAAACCATCTTACTCCGATTCTGACCACAGAAATTATTAGGCTTCAAACAGGGTGAACAAAATCATGCCCCCCCACACAGTCTAACATCTACACATATAGAAAAAACCTCGAATCTTTTGCATATGAAATTTCAAGGTGTCCTAAGTCCAAAAATGTAAAAATTTTTTGCCTCATTTTTTGAGCGAGCGCTACACTTTTCCTCTATTATATATAACAGCCGGAAAAGTAAAAATTATCGAATACATATTTATATATTACTTAGAGAAGTCTTTTAGCTTTGGAATTAAAAAGTTTCTATGCTCTATCTTTATTACAACTCTATTTATTGAATCTTTTATTCTGAGGTTACGTGATAACATCAACATTTCCGGGTTTCTTTCGGTAACAAATCTGCCCCTGGTCGGAGTCGAAGTCGGATGGTAAGGAAAAGTTGGAGTTGGAGTCGGTAGATTTTTACACGACTCCACAGCCCTGGTTATCACACAAAGAGACGAGACTATTATTTTATTGTAAAACTATCCACTTATAATATACAGCATTTAATTCCAACATCTAAAATGCATTTCAGCAGTTTTTGCTGTGTCATCTTCAATTAGATTTCTTATCAGAGTTTTACACAATACATCCAGACTCAGTACAATATCCTTGTGACAACATATCTAAAATCAAACATTTCATAACATTTACTGACTATGGTTCACTATTGACAGTTACCCATTAGTAAATACAAGTTTTTAAAATAGAAATATAATTTAGAATATTTATTCTAAACCTTTTAAAAAAAACTTTGACCTAAAAATTTTTTGCCTCGGTTTTTTAACCCTCACACATTTTGTGTGAACAATATTAAAAGTTTTACATTACACAGTTCTGGTGATTCTTTCCATTTTTTTTCTTTTTAATCTTGTCCCGTGGAGGCTTGTATGCATCTGTTTTTAACTTGTTCTTGACCACTTTTGTAATTACTTCTAACATTTTATTTTATTTTTATTTAATAAGTCAAGTAGTAAAATAAGGAAATAGTCAATGTAAATTTGTAATTAGAAATTAACATAAACTGTATCAATAACTTAACTCACCAATTCTTGAGTCTTTATAGATGGTTTTTCCCCTCTGGAAATTGTAACTTATTAGATAAAACTAGATATTTACAATTAGTATACCATATTTTCACAGAATGATGGTCACCCTCAGTTTTAATAAAAAAATAAAATTAATTAGATTTAATTAACAACTAATTTTGTTACGTGTTAAAGAAAACATTCTTCCCATTACAATAAAATATTAACATTATAATTTGACTGACTTGAAATCAGGAAGAGGGCTTTTGTTTACAGTGCAATAAAACAATTAATGACTTATTGACATCAGTATTAGTATTAGAAGTTCTTTGTCATTGTCATTGTCATTGTGGACTGCACTGACTATGTACTCTGACCTTAAAAATAACACCTTCCTCTCAAATTTCATACAAAGCCAATGTGAATCAGTGTATAAGTCAAGATAATTTACTGCCAGTTTCTGAAATTTAATATGCTTATTTTTGTATTTTTAAATTGAATTACAATAAAATAAACATAAAAAAGCACTTGTCATCCTGTGAGTATTTTACATAGTTAGAAAGAAAACAAAACGAAGAAATTAAACATATAATCATAATTTTAGAATAAAAACGTTCTTGTTTTTATGTTATATAACTTTTTTTATGCACCCTCTAGAGATATCTATAACCTCATTTAAACCGTCATGCTAATTTTTACCACACAGAAATATCTGATTTTATGGTCTCCCTGGATAGACTAGCATGTTGGTCATTCTGCAAAAATATGGTATAAAGTTGGTTAGATTGCAAAGATGTCTTATTACCACTAAAAGATTCAAAGTTTCAATTTAGATTCTAATTTAAATTAGATTACTCATGAAAATATATTGAGCTTGAATTCAGCCACCTTGAATCAATTGAAGTCAAGCCTGCTTATAATAGACTAAATTGAAACCAGCTTTATAGACTTAATTTGTTGGTATAAGGTACAAACATAATTCACAGAGAGATCTGTCCAGAGATTATAGCTAATCCAGATGTAAAATAATTATTACTGATCATAGATTTGAAAGCAATTAAATGTTTGTCTTTTAAATTGTATAAAACATTTTTTTAAAAATATTAAATTTTTAGATTTTATTGTCTGATTTGACTGGATTCAGAATTTCAAATATTCTTATTCTTAAAGTATAATTTGGGGAATTAAACATTTTATGGAAGTCAGTAAAACAAATATAGTAATGAGAGTTGTTATTATTTAAACAAGTAAAATTATGAGTAAGTAAAGTAAAAAACAAAAAGTTGTTCTCCATCACAGACATAGTTTTGCATGTTAAACTGAACTACAGAGATTTTATATCTATTACTAGCTATGAATTGTTCCTATATTATATATTGATTATTAATCATTCAGCAAAATTTAAAAATCATTATTAATGTATTATTATAATTTTAGCAATTAACTTAAGAATATTACCTAGTTATTCATTTCTTTCTTTATATATTTAGCCAATTCCCCAAAAAGACTGGAATGGAGAAAATTTTCATTATGACATTCAGTGCTATGAAACTCATATACCTATTAGAAGATATAAAAAGGAAACAAATAGTATGTGGAAAAAAGAAATAAGCTCTTCTGCTACATTCACAAATATGAACAATATGTTAGATTATGTATTTATAATAAGAACTGCTAATTCTCAAGGAACCTCTGATGAATATAGTAAAATTATAGTGAATAACAAAGAAAATTGTAAGTCAGTTTATTTGATTTTTAATGTTTAACTGTTATTGCACTGTCATTTAAGTTAATGACATAAAAATAGTATTTTAGATTCTAATAAATCTTTAAATAATTTATTCTTTTAGTATTACCACCACCAAAAGATATTAAAGTAACAGATTACGGAAGAGGAATGTATGAAATTGCATGGACTATGCCAGAACATGTGGAAGTAGACAACTATACCATATTCTGGTGTGAGGCAGTTTTATCAAGACCATTCCCATGCGTGGGACCATTTCAGTGGAAAGTAGTGTCTAAGGATTCCACTTTTGCTCGATTGAATTTATCTGACATTGATACTAATTACCGGTTTGCCATCTCTGCCAATTCAAGATTGAGTAGTTCAGGAATGGAATGGGCACCATGCATTATACCTCATAATGGAGGTAATATTATTAATTTATCTCTTGTATTTTAAAATAAGAATTAATATATCAATACATTAAAATTAGGATAAATATATAAATTATTCAGTATTTATTATCTAAGGAGAAAGATTTACTGACTTTTTGTAATATCAATCTTCATATTTGTCTAAAAGTTCAAAATTTTTCTTTCATTTGAAACATTACTGTATTTGTATAATGAAAATACTTTTAACATCAACTTTAATCAGAATCATCAAAATTATCAGAAAACTACACTTTTTGGATCAGTAATTTAACAATATTTGGAACAAATTTCATGGAATTTAATTTACATTTTAACCTGTCCTACGTTGTTCCTGAAAATATTCGTGTTGACCTCATTGACCTACGTGGGCGATCCCGAATATTTTCGTGTTTACATTGGAACGTTTTTGATACTAGATGTCGCTATGCGTCACAATTTTTATATTAAAATGAACTTTTAAAAGATAATTTTTTTTGTTTCTATATTATTCAGTATATTTATCTTGTTTGTGCAACATAAAAAAATAATTTTTAATGATACAGTAAACATGATTAATATTTTAAAAAAAAAATTTTTTTAGGCTTAACATCAACGAAAATTCAACATGGCGTCACAGGCAACAAATAAAAATTTTAACATCAAATAGGTTAAAGCAGTTATATATGCTTTACTTTAATCCATACATTACCATTTTTTTTATGCACAATGTCACAAGTTTTAGTCTTAATATTATATGTAAATTATTGAGTCATGAAGATCTCATATCCAAAAAATCCAGTTTGCTATTTCAGTAATGAAGAGTTATTATTTAATTGTGCTACCAGATTAGCTGCAAAATTTAGTTTGAATGCTTAGCAAAATGTTAATTTTGTACATGTTTTTAAATAAATTTTTAAAACTAATTTTCCTATTTTTATATTAATTTAAATTGATAATCTAATTATTATTTATTTTGGTTATTTTCATAGATATTATAAATTTAATTTGTGTGTTGACATGTTGTACTTTATGATAATTAAATTTTTCTTTTTTATTATTATAATTCTTCATTATCTGGAATGTTTCGGTACATTAAAAATGTAGAACTTATATATACAGGTAGCCCTCGGTTTATGCCGCAGTTCCGTTCCTACAAAAGCTGGCTTAAAACGAACCCCTATTTATAGTGAGGTATAGGGTTAGGTTCTACATAAGTGAAAATAAGCTAATAATTTTGTTTATTAATACAATATAATACAAAATACATAAAATACATTTTAAAAATTAAAAATTTATATCATTAAATAAAAACATTTTACTTTATTTTAAAATTTTAGTTTCGAATTTTTTACATTTTTCGGAAAAAAGTATCCATCTTTAATTGTTTACATTTTTTATTTCTTTCATTAAAAATTTCGGAATATGGTCAAATATGCATTTTTACATTTGCACTTCGCTCCCAACATTGTCTAACTCACAAACCCAATGTAGAGCTACGGACGAGCAAAGACACTGATTAGTCAACCACCAGTCGCCATAGCGCATACATAAGGTCAGTTTGAGCGGGAAAATTCAAGGTGGCTAAGGAGAAATAGCTATCGTCTGGCCAACGAGAAATAGATTTGTCTCACTAATGATAATTTGTGATTGCCGGAAGTGCTATTGCGTCGTAAGGTGTTTTCCTGAATGAACTGATAACGGATATATTCATTGGCGCTATGGATTCGGACGCCATTTATTGGACTATTAAGTTTAATATCTTGACTCGTGGGTACCTAAACGTTTAGTATTTTAATATTAATTTAATGCCAATGTATACATGCCCAATAATATTAAACAGAAAAAATAAATATATTTAATAAAAATCTTTGTTTTAACGAATGTATAATGTCGCAGCTCGGTAAATACGTCAACACTGAAATGAAAATCAGTCTAGCATAGGGAAAATCGGAGAATTACACCTCGAAACGGCAAATTGCGTAGCGGCGTTATTGTGAATCGGCGTAAATTGAACCTGCGTAAACCGAGGGCTACCTGTATATATTATACAGAAAAATGGAGTGACCAGGTAGAGGGGACTTGACATACCTGAGACAAATAACCCCCAGAAAATATTCAAGGGCTATTTGCCTGAATTTGATCTTGGATTTCCAGGGTGGTAGGATGATGCCTTAACTTAATCAGCCATCCAGCCACTACATAAATTTTTATACATCTCAAAAATTAGTGTAAAAAAATAATTTATTATTTCAAACTGTGATGACTAAGTACAAAATAACAGTAACTGCTTGATAAACAGGAGCATGATTGCTTAGATTTATTTTTCCATGAAATCTTACACATCATACTTTTGTTTATGAAGTCAACTCAGGTTATAACCTTGAGATATCTTGGGTTATATATGGGTGGAAGAGGTTAAATTTTTAACTTTGTTCAAATAATCTTAAATAAATTCCAAAAATTTTCATTTCTTTTATCTGTGAATGTTAATGATTAATGTTTTTAGAACCAGTTGCATGCAAACTTTTTAAACTGGAAAATTTTAATTGTATAATGAAGAAACAGAGTATTCAATGAAAAATAGGTTTGACCAGATTAAAGGAACACCAAGCTGATCTACAACACAGAAGGCTCACTACAGCCCTAAGTATTTATGCAACAGACCAGGACATAGAGGCTGAGCTCAACAAAGCTAAAATTATTGTAACCACACCCCACTCTGAGCACATAAAATGGTTTGAAGCTATGGCTATTTATAAAATGAGCCATAGAAATACATGCATCAACCAAAAAGAAGAGCTCAACCTATCACCAGTCTGGCAACTTCTCCTAGACAAGTATCTGTAGTAATTGACACATGCGCACAACGATGCATGTCAGTTGGGACAGAATTCGGCAAACTTTTCAATTTGAAATCTCCTGTTCAATTTTTTCTCAAGTATTCCATTTCCACCTGAAGAAGAACTTCATAAAGTTTGAAAACGTTTGTGGGATGATTTTTTATAGGATACACACTGGTAACAGGTTCAATTTTTAATTTAAGTGTAGTACTTCTGGTGTCAGTAAAGGGTTGAACAGTATTACAAATAGGTTTGAATAACATTTCACTTTTTTAAATTAAAATATTTGTTAATTTTTTTTTATGGGCAAGTTAAGAGTGCATCATTAATCCTTTTCATAGCATCTTTTGAATTATTTAATCCAAAATGTATGTTGTGTTTTTGATAAATTTGGTGACTTAAAGTTGAACTTTTTAGCTAAATCTATTGTAATTGTATGCATTTTAATTTTGAACTTTTCCTTGCTGTTAAGGAAAACTCTCATCTAGCATTATAGTGAATTATCTTTATGAAAAAATTCATAAAGATAATTCACTATAATAATAGTAGATATTAGTAACAAAAAGAACCAGTTACTTTAAACTGGCATAATTGTTATACAGGCTGTGATTCACTTGGGACTGACACACTTATTATGTGGAATATTTTAGTATAAAGTGAAACGTGAGAAGAATGATTCTTTATTTCATGATGAAGCAATTAATAGTGGTATATTTTTTATTACATGTTATTCAGATGTTGCTGAGTAATCATGATATATATTGAACAGACTAAGTGTTCAGTCCTAAATGAATTATCCTAGAGAGATAAAGTTGTGTGTGTAAAATTAACATAAGATATATTTTTATTTGATCATTTCTTATAATATTTTTTCAATTTGCATTGACACTTCAATAATTTGATATAATTTTTTTCAGTTTTAAATAAAATTGAGAAAGTGAATGTCCAGGCAATAAATTCAACAAGTTTAAAAGTTATATGGTATTTTGATTGCGATGCTCAGAAACACATAATTGAAAAATATTGTATTTATTGTTATGTGGATTATAATTCTACACATAAAGGTAAATATATTTATTTAAAATTTTGTTATACTTTGTTTATTAAAGATAAATTTTGGAGTTAATAATACAGTGCAATTATGCTAATCTTCACTATTTATTATATGGAATTGTTTGAATTGATGAAAAATTTAGATTAATAGGGTCATATATATAAAGAAACACTAGTATAAAAGTGCTACTATAAATACATGTATAAAGTATTTAAAAATGTTTAAATTATATGAACCATATACAGTATATCGACTGCTCAGAGCAAGAGGGTTACAACTCAAAATTTTCGATGTTTTAGTTATTGTACTTATGGGAATGCTTGTATCGAGTTCTATCTTATGTATAAAGGTTATATCTCTAAATGGCTTATTATGGCTCAGGGACGTACATATAACAGTTTCGCAATATGCTAATACACTCTGTTATTGAATTCAAGAGGGTTACATTTTGAGTTGTAACAGTTTTCAGCTTTCAATTAATTGCATTCTTGGTGAAAGAAAGTTGCATATAAAGTTGCAACTCTTTTGCATTCTAAATCTATCTATCTATATAACCCAAAGACCACTGATGGAATAATAGAAGATGACTTCCGGGGAAAACATGAAAGCAGAAAGAAAACTGATGAGGAAATACTGAAGAATGTGAAAGAACACATACTGTCTTTTGAACGTGTTGAATCACACTATTGTAGAAGAAATTCAACCAAACAGTATTTAGATGGCAGCTTAAACATTAGTGAAATGTGTCGGCTATACACAGACTATTGCAGAGAAAAAGAATTACCACTTGCTAAAAAACACATTTACTCAACGGTATTTCATTCACTTAATCTTTCATTTTATCAGCCGAAAAAAGATCAGTGTTGTATATGTACTGGATATAAGAACAGTACAGATACAGAGAAATTACAATTGCAGGACAATTATAACAAACATATAAAAGAAAAAGAAATGTCAAGAGCTGAAAAGACTAAGGACATTGAAGCAGCAAAACAGGATACAAATAAAATTGCTTGCTGCTTTGATCTCTAAGCAGTTCTCCCTTCACCTTGTGGTGAGTGCTCTTCCTTATACTACAAAAGGAAACTCTCATGTTACAACTTTACAATTTATGATATTTCAAACAATAAGGGCCACTGTTATTTTTGGCATGAAGGCTTGGCCAAACGAGGTTCAAATGAAATTGGAACATGCCTCTATAAATTCATTACTTCATTGCCCAATACAGTTAATGAAGTAGTTTTGTTTTCAGATAATTGTGCAGGGCAGAACAAGAATAAATTCATTGCTTCATTACTTTTATACTGTGTAAATAATATAGACCATATTAACACTATTACTCACAAATTTCTCATTCAAGGGCACACACAGAATGAGAATGATTCAATGCATTCCACCATTGAGCGTGAAAAACGAAGAGTTGTTAAAGGTGGGACAATAACACTACCTGCTCAATGGGTACCAGTACTGAAATTAGCCAAGAAAAAAGGCAGCATTTATAATGTGACTGAACTAGATACAGCAGATATCTTCAATTTGAAAGACTTATCACAACAAATGGGAAACAATTTCTCCAAAAATGAAAATAATAATTTAGTGAATTGGCCCAATATTAAGATCATTAAGGTCATGAAACAAGATCCTTATACCATCTTATACAAGCACTCATATGCGCAAGAGGATTTTGAAAAGTTAAACATTCAACAAAGAATGAGAGGTAGATCTGCCAAAGTCATGCTGCACCCAGCTTATTCTTCACTACCAGGGATAGATGCTGGAAAGAAGAAAGATTTGCTGGACTTATGTAAAAGTGGTGTCATTCCAAGCATGCATGCATCATTTTATAATTCTCTGAAAGTTTCCGGTAATGTTTAAAAAGACTGATCTCTAATTTGCTTGATAAAACCATAGCACAATTAGTGATACTTTTTTAATGGCTGTGTTAATTTTTTGTGAACTTTCTTACTTTTGATTTTATTGTTTGTCATGTTTGAACAACATGGGTCTCATAAAACCAGAATGTAACATTACATTTTTCTGTTCTGTTAAAATAAATACTGTAACTTTATATAAAATGTATATTATTATGTAATGGCAAACAGCTGTTCTAAGTAAAAAAGAATGGCAAACAGTTGTAACTGAGAAAACGATAATGACATTTTGAATGCAAAACTGTTGCAACTCAAAAAATATGTAATAATATAACAGAGAAAATACATTTAAATAATATTATTATTCCAACTCAATGTAATGACTATAATTAACATTCAAACCAAATTTCATTGATTTTAAACAATTCCCTGATTTATCAGCTGGAATTGAAAACTTCAAATGGCTCTCCTGAAAAATCTATATTTTTGAGTTGTAACTCTCTTGTTCTGAGCAGTCGATATGTTAAAATGTATTGCATATATTAAATTTACAAAATTCTCATGTTTTTAAAAAACTTTTGCTGCTAAATGTTTCAGAGAAAATCAAAAAGAAATCATAAGTTTTTCCAATAGAATTGCAATAAATAAAAATAACTCACCATATATAAGAAATTAATGAAAAACTGCTTTAATGGAGCAATCAAACAAAAAATAAACTCATTTGCCTAGTGCTTTCAGGTCAAATCTGTTAAAAGTTTTTTCCATCTACTCAATAAATAGTTTTCATTGCTTTTATCTACTTTTACCATAAAATTTATGGAAGAAATTTTGACTGCTCTATTTGATATGTAGTACTGTATATTTTACTCTCAGTAATTTGCTATAATGAAACATGATTCAAAATCATAAAATTTATTATTAACTTGGTAAAATAGTAAAAAAAATCCAGCAACAAGTTGCTTAATTTTCCTGACAACATAGCACCATACACACAGTTGAATATCTGTTATTTTATTAAAACATGTGATATAAAGTTTTTTAAATTATTATAAAATGGCAAAAAGCTTAATTTTGAGGGTAGGGATGAGTTTTATAAAAAAAATTGTAAATGCTAATAATGATTAAAATTGTCATTAAGTCTAACCCTTCTTGAGATATGACACACAACCCCCTTTATCTCCCCATTTTGTTGATCTTTAACCACCAAAATTTAACAGCATCAATCCCCTAATATCCCAAACCTCTCTGCAAAATTTCAGAAATTGTTGACAATAAGCATAGGAGTTATTGAGTTCTAAAGAGAGTGAACAAAATTGTTCTCCCCACACACACAGTAACATCTATACATACAGAAAAAAACTCTCAAATTTGTTTGCATTTCTCAACACTTCAAGGTCCAAAAACGTAAAAATCTGGGAAGTCATTTTTTTATCTGTTGCCATACTTTTCCTCTGTTATATATAACAGAGCTGGGAAAGTAAAAATATGAGTAGAATTGAATTAAGCAGATTAAGTAGTGTCAGATTAGCAAGAGTGCATTGTAAATGAAGTTGTGTTCTAATTAAATTGTCAAATTTTTTATTGTTATCTTGTTTTTTTAATTAAAATTTTATATTAGTTTATGTTGGGTTGGCAACACGGCAGCTGCACCCTCTAGAACTATAGTCAACAAGTGCAAATATATATAATAGTAATTTTATTTGGTGTTATTTTATGTACATACTTTTAATTTTCATTTTATACATGCATGCAATAGCTAAAATCTTTATTTACATATATTTATACAAAATAATTATGTTTTTGGAAAAAAAAAATCACAAATTATGCACCCTCTGTGGTTTTTAAAATTTTTATTGCACTCTTAGTAACAAAAAGGTTGCCAACTCCTGGTTTATATAATTTTCATTGTTGAAATACAGTTATTATAATTATAAACACAATGCTGTTCATCTTTGTTTTATTGACTAATTCTAAAACTTATTAAAATACTATTCACATAGATATTTATGCTTAATGAATAAATATCTATCTATGTAATTAACTAATGTTCTGACCCAATAAATTTGGCTTTTTCACAAGATCAAAAAAAAATAATTCAGGTTTGATTGATTTTATTAGGTAAATATTAAATATATAAAGTGTATATGTGAACCACCGGGAGGGGGTAGGTCTCCCGATCCGGCAACAGGTTGTTAAACCTTTTCACTGTCAGGATGGGTGGAAGGATTCTTTTTCCTGCAGTAACGAGCTTTAATGTTTCGGGTCGAGTGGCGGAGGGAGGAGTGCATCGGTGAGACGACAGGCGATATACGAGTAAACGAGGAGGCCAGATGTAACATAAAAAAATTTAACAATTTATTTAAAGCAAGTTTCGGGTAGTACAACGACTAGTTCGCATCTCTAAACTGCGGAGAGACCGAGAGAGAGCTTACAATAATTGGTTCCATACCTCTTGATCTGTTATCCACTGAGGAAAATTCTCCACTCTTTGATTTAGGAAAGTTCACTGTTTAAAAATTTAAATCTTTGATTTAGGAAAGTTTACTGTTTAAAAAGGACACTATTTTAAAGTTATCGTCTCCTGGCACCTGCTCTGGAACGACTCCCCCGAGAAGGGGAAGGAAGGGGTTTTTATAAGATCGACGTGGGAGAATGGTCACGTGATTGATTGTTGTGAGGTAAAAGGTACGCAGATGGGTCAGAGTTGTTCCCGGGACCATGCTAACTATCAACTTAGCAATTGGAATGTGGGATTAGTTTCGAAATGAACGGATGTTTATGTCGAACATAAAGGAAAAATTTTTTTCCCGTTAGGTTTCACTTTAAGTTAAAGGAAAATTTAATTACGTTTTTAGGCAAATACGGGACAATTAGTTGGCAAATAATCGGTACAAATTCCAGATCTCACATTCAAAAAAAAATAATTCAGGCTCTGTTGATTTTATTAGGTAAATATTAAATATATAAAGTGTATAATAAAATTTATATGTAAATGCTAAATTTTTTAATATGGAATATTAAGGAATATAATTCAAAAGTTACTGCAGATTACATGAATTCAGTTCTTTTGTGCATTAGAAGAACTAAGTAGAATAAAATATCTATTTAATAAAAATTAACCTTGGGAATTTAAAACAGCATTTCTGTATAAATACATTAATATATTATACTTATCTATTTATGTCATTACCCAAAATATAGTTAACAAAAAATAAACATGTATTTGGCTTTCATTTAATTATATATATAATAATAGTGTAACAGTATAGCAATTTATATATTGTTATAAAAATAAATAAATAATAATGTATCTGCTTTTGATTTTAAATTATGACATTTGAAATAAGAAAACTGTAGGATTTAATTTTATATTAGTATTTAATGCAAATGTTTATTTTTTAAATAAAATACATATTAACAAGTATAAATCACATATATAAAAAGGGATAAACCTATTTAAAATTTTTAATATTGAAAACTTTTTGTCATATTTGTATGTTTAGATTTTCTCATATTTTATTACTTTGTTTTTTGAATAGAATTTGTTAAAAGAATTCTTTTTAACAACACTCAAACAAATAGTTATATTGTTACTGGATTAAAGCCCTATACAGTCTATAGCATTGTCATAACAGCAATGATTGGTGAACGTGAAAGTAGTCAGAGTGATTATAAAACTGAGAGAACTAAAGCTGGAGGTAAGATAAATTATATTACTATTTGTTAATTTTTGTTAAGTAATTTAAAAATTTCAATTTTTTTTAATTTCAGCTCCTTCGGATTCTCCTCAGAATGTGACAATAACAAACATAACTGATACTTCTGTAGAATTAAGTTTTTATCCACCTAATATCAGCAATGGTATAATCACTAGTTATAATATTCTTATCACATCAGAGGATGGAAGCTCAAAACAAAAATCATTTTGGTTTCATAAGCACAGATTTTCTGCAGTTATTGATAAACTTGTTCCTTATACAAATTATACAATGGAAGTTAAAGCCTGTGTTGAACATGAATGTTCTCCTCCAAAAGTTGTTTATGTAATGACAGATATTGGTGGTAAGTATAAAATTCCAAGAAAAATTTCTAAAATATTTTTTGAAATTGTTATTAAGGTTTATAAGTTTTTTTAAATAGGTATATAGCATTAACAATTCTTTCCATGTAATTAATATCATATTTACTCAAATATAAGACACTCCATATTTTCTACACACCCATAAATGTTTTTTTTTTGTTTTTTGTTAAAAATAGGCAACTCAAGATAAATTTGTTCAGTGTTTATTACACAGTAAAGTAAGTTAGTAAAGTAAATAACACTCTTCTGTGTTAGGCTCTTGTGAATCAACACTTTATTTAATGCTTGCAATCATTGTCAGAAATGTGACATTTATTGAAAGAGTGCTGCAAAACTGAGCTGAGTTGACCTCTTGTTAATCTGTAATGATTTTACTAGACTAGCAAATATTTTAAGTGATGCAATGGAATTAGTGACATAAAAATAAGATTCATTGCACTAGAAGTTGCTAATTATGACTTATTACATCAAATTTAAGACCCATCTTGTTTTCAGAGATACTAAAACCTAAAGTGAAAAAAGTTCACCTTATATTGGAGTAAATATTGACAATTTTATATTGTCAAAATGAAAAGAATCTTCTGTTTTATTGTAAACATTAATTAAATAGTATATAATCATTTACATGCGACTTTATTCTGATTTTATATAAATTCTTTAAAAGACATTTATGAAATGCATGAATCCTGTTTAAGAATTGTTGATTCATGGGCTAGCACAGTTTTTATTTGATTTAATTAATAACAAAAACAATACAGCCTTTCCCCCTAGAAGTAATAAATTCAAGTTTTTAAGTACTTTTAGGAATACTTTACCCTCATCTTCAGGAATTGTTTTAAAAATAAATCAATACAGCTTTTGTAAGAGAAGTTACAATATAATCAACTATAATTATAAAAATTTTAACAATTACTTTGCCATTGCATAAGCTATTTTTATACAAATTAAAAAGTTAATATTAACAATTTTATAATTATACTAGAATTTGTCCTTTTCCTCCATATTCTCAAACCTTTTTTTAGACAGTTATGAGGTGTTATGAGTTTTGGTGACTTTATAAGCATAAATAATAATAATGTAACAGTATTTTAATTTGCAATAATTATCAAAATAAATTTTTATCACTAAAATCTTATAGGAAAAGTATTTTTACTATGAATCTAGAAATGTTTAATTTTTAGCTCCATTTTCTATAATGAAAATATTTTCAAGAATAAATATTCCACTTAAACAAAACTGATTTCAGATGCAAAATAAATGAATAATTGATCTACTTTACTGCATTAAAATATAAATTTTAATTTTTGAAATTTTTTAAAATTAAATACATTAGAATCACTAAGACATTTTGAAAAGCACCCTAATTGTCAAGAAATGAAATTTGTCTTCTCATGCTGTCAGCCTCAACATGTGGCTAACAACATGCAATCATTATCAGTCTTAATCATACTTTAAACATTAAACATAAATCATTTTTGTTATTGTTTGTTCATTTTATAAATTGTAGATTTGCTTCAATTATGTGCTGGTTGAATTACTATTAATAATTAAATGTTTAGAGTTTTATAGTATTATTAATTTTAATTATTATTTTAGCTTGTTTTTTAATGTCTGTGATTAAAACCAGAATTTCCACTAATTGTAGGTTTAGTTACTTACTCCAATTAACTATATTTTTCTGTATAAGCACAAAATGATACAAATTAATTTTTGTGCTTATACTGATGATACAATAAGTGAATTCTATTAAAACAACCTTAATGAACTGTAATAAAGATATTGTACTAGAATAATATTTTGCATGTTTCTTGTTTATTAATAATTTTAACTATATAGTTAGCATGCAAATATATTTTTAACTTGTATTAATTAAAATAAATTTTATATTTACTTTCTAGTTCCTGGTATCATGGAACCACCAATTCCTGCATTGTATAATGGTACTTTTGTTAAGTTATCTTGGACAGCTCCACAACACACTAATGGTCCAATAGATTTTTATAGTTTAAATATACAATGGGAAGAGAATGATGAACTTCAAAATCAGACTCTTACCATCTACGATTACACTCATTACAACATGAATGTTGATTGTCCATTTCGTGATAAAGATGTACTGTATTCATTCTCCATTCAGGCTGCAAATGTAAAAAATGGAAATGTTCTCTATGGAAATATGAGTGCTCCAACTCAGACAAAACTCTGCTATATTAGTGATGGTAATAAATTTATTAAAATTTTTATTATATTTATTAACTATTATGTCTAAAGTTCTTATATAACTTAAATGAAGTTTTTTAAAGAATCAATTGTTTAAGCCAAGAGTCTAGAAGGCACATTTTCCATTGAATAATTATTATTAAAATAAAACACATTTAGCAAGTTAACAATTATCTGAATTCATTTACCTACTAGTATTGCATATTTAATAAAATTTTTAACATTCAAACTTTATGTAATAGATAAGATTAGTAATATGAATTTAACTTGAAACATGTTTCCTAATTTAAATTACTACCCAAAGTGCCAATAAAGATAAATTTTATGAACATAAATTTAACATGTGTTAATTAGCTTTGTTTATAAAACTATTTGTATGTTTTATTAAGTATAAAACCTTTACAAATGTGCTTTTACAATATGAAATTATGCCAATATACTCTAAACAATTATTTCTTAAATTAAAAGTAACTTTTCAGACTATATGTTTATATTAGTTCTTTGTTCTAAATAATAATAAGCTTTTTAGAAATATGTTACAAAGCTATGAGTTGATTCTTCAATCTAATTTAATAATTTTTTTTTAAGGTGTTACTTGGTATATGCTTCTTGGCATAATTGTTGGTGGAACACTTGGCTTAGTTGTTTTGTTAGTTCTACTTTATGGATTTGCTAGATGGTAAGTTTATTTTTAATTAATTTTTAAAAGTGTCAGAAAGTAAAGATAATTTTATTCCAACAACTGATATCAATTATCATCTCAGTTTGAATAATGGCAAACATATTATTATTCAAAACTTTTTTGTATTAAAAGATTATATATTTATTGATTGAAGGGAAAGAATTTAGTAAATTTGATTTAAACTTTTAGTTTATAAATTTTTTTTTTCATTTGATTTCAGAAAATAATGAACAAAAATATTTCATTTATATTAGTCTTTTTAGCTGATACTATTGTCTAAACACATAATGGCAAAAACTATTAAAGTGTTATAACTTTTTGCCTAGTGAATCAGTTTAAAATACACAAAAATATGATGTTTCTTGAAAAAATAAAAAAAAATGTTTGCATAAATTTTGTAATTAATTTATATTAATTTTACAAAATTCATTTTGTTATTTTGATTCAAATTATATTTTCTGTAAAAAAACAAACACAAGATATATTTAATTTATACATATATTAAAAAATCATAATGTTTTCTATAATTTAAGTATAATGTAAATTTTAAGCAGAGTTGATAGATATACTACTCTCTCAGCTACATTAACCCTACTTTAGAATATATGAGATAGCCAATAGCTGGTGCTTGAGTTGATTTGCAGTAGGAAGATTTTTTTATTCATTTGGAACAGTAGGAAAAAAATGTAATTACAAATAATATCATGCATAAAGAAAAATTACCATATTTACTTGCTTATAAGACGAGGTTTTTATTCATTTATCACAGCTTCAAATTCCTAGGTCGTCCTATATGCACGAGTGAAAGATTCTTTGCATTTTTGCAAATAATTTTTGTGAACTGTGTATTCACATGCTTACCCTCTTGTATTTAAAAGCATAAGTATTTTATCTGGGTTGTTTGAATCGTTCTTGTATATTGTCAGGAGTAGATTAAATACCATAGTTACTTACATATAAGGGGCCGTCCATAAATTACGTAAGGGCGATTTTGGCCATTCTAGACCCCCCACCCACCCCTGCAAGAAACCGTAATATTTTCTTTGATCTCCCTCCCCTTCCATATCTTATGTAATATTTAGGCAAATTTTAACAAAAAAATTTTTTTTATGAAACNACTTTATTGTTCGCACAGGGGGCTACAGTTTGGGGGGATCGCCACCTCTTCATTCGGAGGGTAAATCTTACCATTCGGACTTTTACAGAGCTGTAGAGCATATTAATAGGAACAAAAAAGTCAAAGGAACCGTGCCTCATGGAAATTTGTAAAGAATGCCCACTAGGGGCGTCCCTGGCTGCTAGTTATTTATAAAAGACTTTAGGTGATCAAATTTAAAAATATAAAAATTTAATGAATTTGAATGAACAATTTCTATATTAATTACATCTTGGATTAGGTCAATAAAATATGATTTATTCCCCAGGTGCAGCATGTAGTTTAAAGCTTGTAAAATTCTGTATAATGGGTCAATACAACCAATGCTACTTTACACGGCCTGTAGCTGGGGTCATGTAACTAGTAAAAATTCAGTAGCAAGTAAAGTACTCTTCAAAGTCAGTTTGACATCAGAATTTCAAAGTGCTGCAGAACTGTTTCTACTAATGCCTCTGATACTAGCAGAGCTCCTTCTTTTGTACTATGTATTGTAAGAAAAGGTTCTAAACTACTACATCAGAACTACAAACATCAAGGCTCAACAACAGTCTCTACTTCTATCTACAGCTGTTCAAATGCTACCACATTGCAATTACCCTACTAAATGTGATCATTACCCTGTAAACAAGGTGATGATCACATTTAGTGTATACAGGGCACATTTGATATCATTGCTTCCTCCATGGATAATCATGCAGACATTAATATCTACACAGATGGGTCCAAAAGCTCCCTTCTTGTTGGTTCAAGTATCTGTATCTTCTTCCAAACTGATATATTTTGCCAAAAGGTACAGATGCTGACTACCAGGCTGTTCAGTGGGCCACTTTACTACCAAACAAAACTCTGTCTATCAACATTTACAGTGATTCTCAGTCTGTCCTAAAAGCTCTATTAAATCCCAATTGCAATAGCAATAAAATTGCATATATCCAGCACCATATTAAAAATCATGTAAGTAAGATAACTTCTATATTTGTTCCTGGCCATACTGGCATACTAGAAAATTAAAAAGCCTACTTTGAGGCTAAGTCAGCTGCAAAGGACACTGATTTGCACTACACTCATATCCCTCTCTCACGTAGCAGCCTTAAAAATTATAGACAACGCTATACAAAAGTGGAATCAATAAAAGTAGTTGAGCAGTAAAACTGGTAGAATAACAAGACTTTATTTTCCTAGTGTTGAATGCAGGATCTCATCACCACTTTGTCCAATTTATGATCAACATACACTTATTCTGAAATTAGAAATTGTTATGCTTGGTTTCAGGTGGCTATGTCCACTCGGTAAGCTTGTTCAGAAGCCACTGTTTTATGCTTTTTACAATTATGTTCAAAAAACATGGAAGAAAAGACTATTTATAATTTCCAATATCTACTTTTACATTTTAGTTTTCACTAAAAGCTGAAAACTAATTTTATGTTTACTTTGTATTATGTATTCTTAGTGTTATACTACGTTCGCACACAATCCACGACTCACTGCGATCTTGATTTACCTACAATCTGGACTGTGACTGTCTCTAGTTGAACGTCGTGCTGTTTGCACAGGCAGTCCGCTCGAGAAGAACCTGGCTATTACATGCGATTATAAAACTGACATAACTACGCGGTAAGTCACAAACACCAACAAACAAAATGGAAGTTTTGGTTAGAAATAAATACTTTTTCTTGCCATACATATAATAATAGACAGATGACATCGTCTCTCCAGATGTCTTTTTTATTTCTCTGTCGATAGCCCGACACGTGTTCTGCAGCCATCTTGTATTTTCTCACGCGTGTGTGATTGTGGGATCTCTCTTATAACTGGATATAGTTTCAAGAACTCTCTCCAGTCGATCGCGATTGAACCTCGTTTCAGTCGAGATTGAAACGGTCGAGAGCGTTTGCACCACGGAACAGGCTCCGACCTTAATCACAATCTAGATCGAAATGCTCGGTGCGAACGGGGTATTATACACCCATAGGAGTGGTGCACTTATTCTAATAAAAAAAAAAAGAGAGAGAGAGAGAAACCACCACACGGCCTTTTTCCCATGAAAAAACATGTAGAGAGCATGAGTCTGCTAGCGTTATTATTTTATCACGTCACACAAGAAAATCACACAACGAGCATTCTTAATAGAAATGGCCAAATTGAAACCAAATTCAAAACTTCACCACTCAACAAGATCAAAAAATAAGAATATTACGTAAGACGAGATCTATTACCCCCTACCCGAGTAAGAAATTGTAAGAAATCCTTGACCCCACCCACCCCAAAATACCTTATGTAATTTATGGACGGCCCCTAAGACTAAACTCTCACCTTGTCCCTATATGTGAGGTCAAGATCAAAATAAAGAAAATTCGATTTATTAATACAATACTAATTTTATTTTGTTTAATCAAAGTAAAATATAACATTATTACAGAACATTATATATAAAAAGCAAAGCTTTTGAATTGAATTCCAATTTGAAATTCCAAAATCACATGGGAGCTCGCTATAAGTTTTAATCCATTACCACGTGAAAACATGATTATTTGGAAATCAGAATTTGGAGAAACTCTGTGTAATTGACAGAGTGGATTTGACTGTTAAGAATTGACAAAAAAAGGTTTCTGATTGTCCAGCTTTACATGAACAAATTATGTTGTCGATTTTACAGGATTTTTCCTTAAAGTTTAAAATGCCAGTAAGTTTTTGCGAGACAATGTGTGCATTTACATTCATTTGATATTTTACTTGTGATTAAATGAAATAGAATTGTATTAATAAATCTAATTTTCTTTATTTTGATCTTGACTTCACATATAGGATGACGTGTGAGTTTAGTCTTATATGCAAGTAAATATGGTATTTAATTTTTGTAAAAACCAAATATAAGATAATAATTTGCAATTACAGGCGAGAATGTGGATAAATTAAATCGAAAATAACTTTAGTTTCAATTTAATTTATCCAGGTTTTAAATAGAGATCTGTTTAAAACTAGAACATTATGTAGCAATATAACAGTTTAATAAATAGGTAATGGAAAATAAAATAAGTAAATAAATTTGTATTTTTCTGTTTTATTACATAAGCTATGGTTTCCTAATTATATTGCATACAAATCCTCTGATACATTTAAATAGCCATAGAAATTTAATCCAAATAAAGACAATAAATTATTTTAAAAAGTAGTTTACCTTTAACACTACATAAAATAGGCTATACAGTTTTACTTGATTCATTACAGTAAGAAATAGTATTGTATGTTTGATATGAGAAATTACATTTCTTATGACACTCACATTGACTCTATATATTTTGGTAATTTATAAGATATTCTGCACTATCAAAAGTAGAATTTGAATGAAGATTTATTGGTGTCAGTAGGACATCAATAAATCTTCATTCAAATTCTGTCCTTTGATTATATAAGCCTATATAATCAAAGTCATATATATACAGGGTGATTATAATTAAAGTTCCACTTTGAAATGGCCATAAAATGAAAACTACTGGACAGAATGATCAAACTTGGTAATAGTATACAGGACGTCATGGGATTTCATTTCCTGTGAAAAAAAAAAGTTGAAAATCTTGCCACCAATGGAAAAATGGCACTGTCTGCAATATTGTTAAACAAAATAAGACATATTAGTCTTATTTTGTTTAACAATATTGCAGACAGTGCCATTATTCCATTGGTGGCAAGTTTTTCAACTTTTTTTTTCACAGGAAATGAAATCCCATGACGTCCTGTATACTATTACCAAGTTTGATCATTCTGTCCAGTAGTTTTCATTTTATGGCCATTTCAAAGTGGAACTTTAATTATAATCACCCTGTATATATGCCTATTTAAT